GTTAGAAAATTTTACTACTAACAGAGATACAAAAGTGGGCGGTAGTATAAAAAGGTTGACTACCCCTGATGTAGGAAAATAGCTTAATGAAAAGCATTTACTAGCATTCATTTGTGATGATTTGTATGCTTTACACGTGACTGTTGTGGCCTATCGGCCGCCGGCCCCTCCAGCAGCCGAATCAGACGAGAAGGAGGTGTGGGTGTCAGGGTCAGCGTCAAGGCAACCTGAGAGCTCCAAGGGGAAAGGGGGATGGAGGTTGCAGAGAGAGAGACAGAGGTGGAGTCTGGGACATCCATCAGCCCTCAGATGGAGAGTCAACAGACCCCAAGTCTGGAGGTGGCTGATGAGGAAGAGGAGGGTCCAATGCCTGACATGCGGATACACAAAAGGCAGAGGAGAGGAGAGCAGTGGAAATCTGTGGGCTGATCCTTGGGAAGGAAGAGCCACTGCTGTTAGCGAAGCCCCACCTGGAGATAAAAGGCAGGGGGCAGAGATGAATAGATGTGGCAGACAACTATTCATCTCCCTGCTGGACAGACTTGTTAGCCTGCATTGAGAGACAAACTTTTTGCCATGGCTGCTGGCGCTTCTAATAAAGGAATCATGTCATGTTTGGGGAACTGGGTCAGAACAGTGATTCCATCACACATGTAAGTGATACGACCACATGTATTTCAAGCTATAATAACTTCATTTTGCCAGTGTGCAAAACCTTAACTGAGAACCATGACCAGGATAGGCTGAAAGTCTCATTGATGGTTTACTTTATTATTAGTCATACAATTCAGACAAAGGGAACATTGGTAGGCTTGCATGGCATGGGACCAGAGGTGGATTCCTACCGGTTCAGCCCAGTTCGGCTGAGTAAGTGGTAACTCCGCCTACCACGCCTCTGAACTGGTTCTATCAGCGGCGGCGCCATCTTGATTTTTGGTTCTGTGCATGTGCAGAATAGTCTTCATTGCAGAAATTTAATTTTTCCCCTTTCCTAACGTGTCCATGCGCAGAGCTTTTTAGGTACAAATGCCTAAATTTTGAGTGCCGAACCAGCAGTAATGCCAGCAGCAGCCCACCCCTGCATGGGACCAGATTATCTGAGGGGCTGCCTCTCTCCAATTACATAGGTCAGGCAGAAGAGACACGTTACAGGCCCCTTCTATTAAGGAATACACTTAGTCCTCAATTTATGACCAAAATTGAGCCCAAAATTTGTGCCGCTAAGCAAGAGTTAGTTATAGTTATAGTTTTATTGATTTCTATGCCGCCCACTCCCGAAGGACTCTGGGTGGCTTACAATAAAACAAGGGAGGGGAATAATACACAAACAACATTAAAATATACAACAGTCACACTCTCCGGCGGGCTGAATATTGCGAGAGCCCCCCGGCCTGCTGGAGCGGCCAGGACTTAACAGCTTTGCGGAAGGCCGGAAGGGTAGTAAGGGTCCGGTTCTCCACGGGGAGATCATTCCAGAGGGTTGGCG